AAAAAAAAAAAAAAAAAGAAGAAAAGATCTACTAATACCAAACCTCACATACAGAGCTTGGTACAGGTCCAAAGTGGTTTTGACTTGCAAAACCGTAAAATTCTAAAGAAACAAAAGAAAATGCATTTTACTCACCACTGTATGTCCAGTACCCAACTCAGCCCTTATATAAGATGCTCAATAAACATTTGCTGAATGCTGAATATTGAAATGGTTGATATGAAATATGAACGCAGGTTACCAAACTCATACTAGTATAACACCTAGCACTCTTTCTACTACGTAAAATCTTTTTCACAGTTCTCTAAAATAACACCTATGAGAAACCTAAAGGACTGTTTTACTCTAAGAAAATGTAATATTACCTGTTACATTTGAAAGCCTGGTATGAACTAGGTATTGTTTAATAAGTTCTCATTTAGACCACAGTTTAAAACCCAAACCAATGGTTCTACCATTTTTATTTCTAAATATTTGCTATCTGAATTAAGTGATAAAGTAACTCTTTATTCCTAGGTAAAGTAGCAATAAGATACTAGTCTTAATTTAATCATCATACATTGATCATCCCCCTCATACAAACGATTCAAATATCTCATTTTCTCTGATGATTCATAATGTTTCTGGTTTTGGTTTTGGTTTTCCTGAGACAGTGTCTCACTCTGCTGCCCAAGCTGGAGTGTAGCGCGGTGTGATCACGGCTCATGGCAACCTTGAACTCCAGGGCTCAAGGGATCCTCCCACTTCAGCCTCCTGAGCAGCTGGGACAACAGTCACGCACCATCACACCCAGCTATATTTTTTATTTTTAGTAGAGACGAGGTCTCACTGTGTTGCCCAGGTTGGTCTCAAACTCTTGGCGTTAAGAAATTCTCCTGTCTCAGCCTCCCAAAGTGCTGGGCTTACAGGTATGAGCCACTGGGCCCAGCCAAGAATGATCCTTAATTTCCTAAAGTTTCTTCTGTTTATATCTGAGACATTTCTTACCTTTTAAGAAACTTCAAGCCGGGCGCGGTGGCTCAAGCCTGTAATCCCAGCACTTTGGGAGGCTGAGGCGGGTGGATCACGAGGTCGAGAGATCGAGACCATCCTGGTCAACATGGTGAAACCCCGTCTCTACTAAAGATACAAAAAATTAGCTGGGCATGGTGGCACGTGCCTGTAATCCCAGCTACTCAGGAGGCTGAGGCAGGAGAATTGCCTGAGCCCAGGAGGCGGAGGTTGCGGTGAGCCGAGATCGCGCCATTGCACTCCAGCCTGGGTAACAAGAGCGAAACTCCGTCTCAAAAAAAAAAAAGAAACTTCAGATACAAAGGCTGTGTAGCATCTTCAAAATAATTTGTCACCACAGTATTTTTTTTGCCTTTAAAAATTTTCCTATCAGTTTGACATTTACTGTTTCTCACACAAAAGCACAATGTAAAAAATTTTGGAGTGAGAGGTTGAAAAATTACCTGTTGGATATAATGTTCACTTTTTGAGTAATGGGTACACTAGAAGGCCAATCTCACCAATCTGCAATACACCCAAGTAACAAACATGCACATGTACCCCAGAATCTAAAAATTAAAAATTGAGAAATTGAAGCTACAACAAATCAAGTTTTATTTTGAAATACATGCTATGAATGTAACTTTATCCTACAGAAAGACTCATGATCTACCATGGATATAGTTAAAAAAAAAAAAAAAAAAAAGAGCTTCTGTTGCAATAATAATAATTTGAACTTAATATTCTTTTTTTTTTTTTTTTTTTTTTTTTTTTTTTTTTTTTTTTTGAGACGGAGATTCGCCCTTGTTACCCAGGCTGGAGTGCAATGGCACGATCTCGGCTCACTGCAACCTCTGCCTCCTGGGTTCAGGCAATTCTCCTGCCTCAGCCTCCTGAGTAGCTGCGATTACAGGCACATGCCACCATGCCCAGCTAATTTTTTGTATTTTTAGTAGAGACGGGGTTTCATCATTTTGACCAGGATGGTCTTGATCTCTTGACCTAGTGATCCACCCACCTCGGCCTCCCAAAGTGCTGGGATTACAGGCTTGAGCCACCGCGCCCGGCCTGAACTTAATATTCTTTAAAGAAAAAAAAGTACATTTTCGATAAAGACTTTAAAGGGGCCAGCATGGTGGCTCACATCTATAATCCAAACTCTTTGGGAGGTCAAGATGGGAGGATTGCTTGAGCTCAGGAGTTTGCGACTAGCCTAGGCAACATAGCGAAATCCACCATCTCTGCAAAAATGTAAGAAAATTGGCCACACATGGTGGTGTGCATCTGTACTTCCAGCTACTCAGGAGGCTGAGGTGGGAGGATCCTTTGAGCCTGGGATTCAAGGTACAATGAGCCTGGCTGATGCCACAGAACACAGCCTGGGCAACAGAATGAGATCCTCCCACAAAAAAGAAGAAAGGAAGGGGGGAAAAAAGGGATGTAAAGGTAGAACAACTACTCAATCTTCTCTGCAGGTTCAAACAGAAAAATGTTTTTCAAATGTCTAGAATGACTCAGATTTGGCCTTACATCTGACAATGAGGCAGAATCAGTTCAAAGGTCAGTCTGACCCAAAGGATTCAAATCCCATCTGTGGGTCACACAAACAAATCATTAGCAAACTGCATCCTTCTGCTCTGCAGCTATCCAGTCCCAGCTTTAGTACTTGCCAACCTTACTCTGGAAATTACCCTGTTAATTAACATGTTGATTATGGAGAATTATTCCTTCCAACTACTGAAACTTTTGATTCTCAGTAGCATTCTGCAGTCCTTTAATATTGTTTTTCTAACATGACCAGAGAGGAAAAATATTAATATTCTGTGATGCAATCAATATCTTCTCTATTAACAATACTCTGTTCCACTGTTCTATACAAACATGGATTCCACCCTGAATTTCAGAAACCACTAGGAAAATAACAGATAACAGAGAAATTAGAGCTCTTATGTTTAACTTAGAGCCAAAATCAGAAGAGACAATTCAGAGAGAGGAAGGAAGAAGCTGAGAGGGTCGCAGTGTAGAACACTTACTTTCAGGAACACAGTGTCCCTTAGATTTCTGGTGAGTTGCCCAGAGCCTCTTCAGTTTCAATCCAAATGACAATGCTTCTCTGAGTTCTCCTCAAGTAATGTTTCCACCACTAAAAATTGGATCTACAAGAGCTCAGATGTACCGGTAAAAAAAAAAAAATGTCAGGGGCCCCCATGTGGGCCTCAAGCCTCTTAAACTAGGCCCACTTCTCTGTCCTGGGCCAACTCCCCTGCGTACTATATTCCTTCTTCTTCCAGGTGCCAGGTATTCAGCCTGTTTCTTCTCTTCTGAGCTGCCACCACCTACTCTATTTCTCAGGGTTCCTCTAACCCCAAGACTGGCTGTGGAGTAGGACACCAGCTTCCCCCCTTCCTTGCTGTCCCTGCAAATAAACATACAGGCTCTTCTAGTTTCAGTATTTTTCTAATGGCTACAAGAAAATAGAGAGGGAACAACAAAAAGCAATAATATATAGTACCAGAGTTTAAGATTATAATAGTCTCCACTTTAAGGTTCCTGCCTCCAAGAAACAAATTTTCTAAAAATTGCTTATTGAGTATTTTTAAAAGCCCAAGGCACTAACATAGACATACAAATATACTCTAAACCAACTCCAACCTTACAGACATGAAGATGCGGTTTTTCAAAATACTTAAATCACAAATCACGGGTCCAAAAATAGTAACCACAATCATCTTAGCAAATACCTTTTTTCTTTTTGGAGTGTTCTGTTGTAATTACTTAAATTTAGCATATGTTTGAAAGTTTGCTTTTTGAATATGAACAATGTACAAAATATTTTACTTATTGTGGGAATATACAAAAAGCAAATAATTTACAAAAAGCAAGCATGTCAAAAGCAACGAACTTCACTAAAAAAATTTTCAAATACGTTGTCAACTATTCCTGTCTCTAAATTTTAAACTTAATAAAATTCTGTAAACAGTGTTTTAAAAAATCAAGATACCTCATTTTAGAAAACTAACGTCTACTGAATATTTGTATACGTCAATATTATATATGCCCTCTTTTTTAAAGCAATAGTAAGATAGATCAATATGCTTATTGTTATGGTTTCTAATGGACTTTGTATCTTCTCTAAATATTAAGTAATATTAAGTATCTTCTCTAAATATTAAGTAATAAATCACAGGATTATATTTAATTCAAAAGGTACCTTCCTATAAAAATCAAGGAGCTCAATAACTAAGTGCTGACAGATTAAGAATGTCGCTGACTGAATTTCCTGATTTTCTTTATCCACTTAATTCAAAGTCGTTTTTTAAAACACAGAGTTATTATACTGCAAGCTTACAATAAAATAAAGTCTGAAAATAGAGATCTTTTCATCTCATTTGTCTAAGAGACTGCAATTTAATCAAACTAAAGATACATAAATACTTTCAGTAAAAATCTGTTCCTGTGACTGGTCTCATCTCCAACTTCTTATTTATAAAATATTAGAGAACTGGAATAAAAAACACTACATAAAACCGTGATCTGACCCTTCCAGACGTCTTACATAGAAAAAGAAGTTTAATATATTGTGTATTCCGCAATCAAATACTTTTTTTTTTTTTGAGGACTGAAATTAAATTACATCCTTTGCTCCTAAAAGAGGATTTTACGGGTTTTCCTTGATCCCTACACAATGCAGCCAACATTTTTAAACCCGGAGTGGGGAGAGGGGCATTACACCTAGCCATACGAATTAAATCGCAGTAGCTAATGCCTCCCTTAAATAATTTATTCTCTCTTGGCAGCAAAAAACGTTACAGCCTCTTCAATTATCCCTCACCGCAAACCATCGCCTGGGTCGCGATCAATGTGACCCAGTTCCTATCGCAGCCACCACCTCCGTCTCGCCTCCTCCCGCCGGGTCTGCGATTGTCACGGGAGGGGGCGGCAGCCGCAGGGGCATCCTCCGGTCGCCACCCCGCCGGGCCGGCGGCACGCGGGGCAGGCCCGGGACTCACCGAGTGGAGGTGCCCTTCCGCACATCGCACATCATGCACTTGAAGGCCTCCGCGCTGTTCCGGAAGGTGCAGACGCTACAGTCCCAGTAACCCTCATCCGAGGACGGCTTCGGCTGCCGCTTCGGCCTGCAGGACACAACCCGGACACGACGCGGCGCGGGGTCACCAGCAGGCCGCGCCAGGCGCCCGGGTCCCGCGGCCGCCCCCGCCCCGCCCCCCGCCCCAATTCCGCGACCCCCGCCCCGCTGGCCCCCGGCACGCCGCGCTCCGGCTCGGCGGGGGAAGGGAGTCGGGAAGAGGCAGGGCGCGAGCGCGGCCGCAGTCGCCGCCGCCACAGCCGCTCTGGGCTGCCGCTCCGGCCGCTGCCGCCATCGCGGCTCCATTGTGGGGCGGCCGGCGCCGGCCCCCTCACGCGGCAGCGCTCGCACAGCAGCGGCGCCGCCCCCGTGCTCGCCCCGGTGCCCGGGCGGCGAGCGAGGCGGCCACCCGAAGCCCGGCGCCAGGGCCCTGCCGCCCGCACAGTCCGGGCCCCGGGGCCCGGGCGCTGTTACCTGGTGGGGCTCTTCTTGTCTCCCATGGCTTGGCTATCAACGCACGCCAAGAGTCGCAGCCGCGGCCGCTGTTTGTCAATAAGGAGGATAATAAGCCGGGCGGAAGCGGGCGGGGGAGGAGGGAGGGAGGGGGCGGGGAAGGCCGCACCGCCGCGCTCTGGAGCCGCCGCCGGATCCCACGCAGCCTCCAGCTGTCGGGGAAACTCCTGCCTGGGCGCACGTGACCCGCGCCCGCCAACCAGCGGCCGCGCCGGAGACTTCAAACGCGGCCAGCGCGGCCCAGCGCCCGCGGCGAGTTCGCGGGCGAGCTGTGCGGGGGTGGCCGCGGCGGCCTTGGCCGCAGGCGCCGCCTCTCCGTGCTGTTCCCCCGCTGCCCCCTCGGCATCCGGGGCTGCCGGGGACTGCCGCGCGCTCCAGAGCCCCCCTGAAAAGGGAAACGTCTGCCCCACCGCCTGGCAGGGAATGCTCCGTCATCCCGTGCGAAGCTTGGTCCAAGGTGGGGCCAGTCGGCGTTCGGAGGCCTGTCCAGGGCTGGACGGAAGTGCCAGCCAGGGGTCTCCAGACAGAATGACTTTCGCGGCCTCCGCCGTCCTCGGCTACTCGGCCCCCGCCTGCGGGGTACCGGGGGGAAGGCGGGAACCAACACGCAGCGCCATTGCTAAAAGCCTTAAAGCGCTGTCTGGTTTATGCACACAGTTGATCTAACAAGTAAGGATTGTCACCCCTAACTTAGAGGAATCGAAACCTAGGCTCAGGAAAGGTTAGGTGACTTCCTCTGGGCTGCATGATTAATTACAAAGCCAGGAGTCTAACTCTGCTTTAATTTCAAACGCGCCCTTTTGGCCTCTGCAGTAGCTGCTTTTAAAAGAAACCGAGTACATACTCATAAGGCCTTTTTAAATATAAGGAATTTGCATGTGCCTTCAACGATGTCTGCTAACAAAAGAACACTTCCCAGGTCTCTTTACCGCAACATACGAAAGGTCCTTATACTCGACTCTAGCAACAGCCATCTAACTGGTCTCCGAAGCTCCACTTCCACCTCCCCAATCTATTAAGTAATCCACAACCAGATTAATAATAAAATGCTGTTAATACTATGCCACAACTCTTATCAAGAACTTGTAACGACTCCCACACTCCTTAGCTTGGCATTCAAAGGCTTCACACATTTTCCCTACCGCTGCATCCCTCTCCCATAAGAAAAGCTACTGCTTGACAAAAGACTGCAGATGAAACTCATTCTTTCCCGTACCAGAACCCTTCCTTCATGCACGTGGGTTACTTCTGCATAAAATATATCCCTCTTTAACTGTTCTGTTTCCATATTTCTAGGTTTATATCAAGTCCGAATTCATGTAAAATGATTATTTTATAGCTAAACTGCAAAGGAAATAGTGCAGTCAGAAGTCCAGAGTTCTCAGCCTCCTTCCCCTGTTTCTTAGCTTATAGACCTTGGCAGTATCATTTAATTTCTGTAATTCTCAACTCTTTCATATTCTGAATGGCATATACATGAAGTTGTTGTGCGATTAATAATAAAATAACATTTTTTTTTGGCCGGGTGCGGTGGCTCACGCGAATAATCCCAGCACTTTGGGAGGCCGAGGCGGGTAGATCACCTGAGGTCAGGAGTTCCAGCCAACACGGTGAAACCCCTGTCTCTACTGAAAAAAAAAAAAAAAAAAAAATTAGCCTGGCATGGTGGCGGGCACTTATAATCCCAGCTACTCGGGAGGTTGAGGCAGGAGAATTGCTTGAACCAGGGAGGTGGAGGTTACAGTGAGCATAGATCACGCGATTGCACTCCAGTCTGGGCTACAAAGCGAGACTGCGTCTCTGAATTAACCTTTTTTTAAGCGCAATGTGCCAGGCACTTTGTAAATCCCTGTACGTAATACGCATTTACGAAGTACAGGGATTTACAAAGTGCATACTCAAAGTACTATGCCTACTCAAAGTACTATGCACATGGTCTCATCAGCTGCAGATGCTCTTCGGTTTAGAATAGGGATACTTCCCGATAAATCCATCTTAAATAAAAAATATCGGGCCGGGCGCGGTGGCTCAAGCCTGTAATCCCAGCACTTTGGGAGGCCGAGGCGGGTGGATCACGAGGTCGAGAGATCGAGACCATCCTGGTCAACATAGTGAAACCCCGGCCGGGCGCGGTGGCTCAAGCCTGTAATCCCAGCACTTTGGGAGGCCGAGGCGGGTGGATCACGAGGTCAAGAGATCGAGACCATCCTGGTCAATATGGTGAAACCCCCGTCTCTACTAAAAATACAAAAAAAAGTAGCTGGGCATGGTGGCACATGCCTGTAATCCCAGCTACTCAGGAGGCTGAGGCAGGAGAATTACCTGAACCCAGGAGGCGGAGGTTGCGGTGAGCCGAGATCGCGCCATCGCACTCCAGCCTGGGTAACAAGAGCGAAACTCCGTCTCAAACAAACAAACAAACAAACAAACATAGTGAAACCCCGTCTCTACTAAAAATACAAAAAATTAGCTGGGCATAGTGGCACCTGCCTGTAATCCCAGCTACTCGGGAGGCTGAGGCAGGAGAATTGCCTGAACCCAGGAGGCGGAGGTTGCGGTAAGCCGAGATCGCGCCATTGCACTCCAGCCTGGGTAACAAGAGCGAAACTCTGTCTCAAAAAAAAAATATATATATATATATATATATATATATATATATATATATCTCGAAAATCGCCGGGCACCGTGGCTCACGCCTGTAATCCCAGCACTTGGGAGGCCGAAGCCGGCGAATCACGAGGAGAGATCGCGACCATCCTGGCCAACATGGTGAAACCCCGTCTCTACTAAAAATAAAAAATTAGCTTGGGTGTGGCGGCGCCGCCTGTAGTCCCAGCTACTCAGGAGGCTGAGGCAGGAGAATGGCTTAAAACCGGGAGGGGGAGGTTGCAATGAGTTGAGATCGCGCCTGGCGACAGAGTGAGACTCCGTCTCAAAAAAAAAAAAAAGAAAAGAAAAGAAATCGTAAATCGACAATGCATTTAATACACCGGTTAAACCCATCGTAAAGTAGAAAAATCGTTAAGTCGAGCCATTGTAAATCCATGGTCTAGCGCTAGCCCTTCATTTTAAAGACAAGGAAGTTAGGGCCCAGGTTAAATGGTTTTTCTTTAATGAGTAGACCAGGGTATCCTATTTGTCTTTCACCACGCCTTCTTTCTAATTAACCAAATAACCGCATTTACAGCAGTCTCTAAACTCATTTTACTCTCTGAAGTTTTTGCAAATGTAGCTTCTGATGATTCAGACCCGAATTCAGAAACCCAGAAACCATGGCTGAGGAACCTATACAAGAGAACGAGATTTAAGGCCTGATCTTTAACCTCTGGTATTGAGGTGGGTAAACTCAGTTAAGTGTCTTTTTTTCATATGTAAAATAAAGGAGTTAAAACTATTACCACAACTAAGGTCCCTTACAAGCCTAAGGCACTGTGATGTTTTTAAATTCCTCAACTGGATGGATCTTCAGAGACTGCTCTACCTGTAAAAGTGATGGCAACACTGTATTTTGTTAAAAGAAAGCTAAATTAAGCGCTCTTAAAAAAAATCCCCCATGCTGCAAATCACCATTTCACTAGATTATAACCTCCATCACTGGAAAGTAAGCAGCACCTCTGAATCATGAACAAAAAGGACAAGAACTTTTTTCTTCTTCTTCTTCTTAGAGACAGGGTTTCACCGTGTTGGCCCGGCTAGTCTCGAACTTCTGACCTCAAGTGATCCACTCGACTCCCAAAGTGCTGGGATTACTGGCGTGAGCCACCATGTCCAGCCTGAACTTTTGTTGTCTTTATTTCTGTGTCTCCAGCCCCTGAGAACAGTGTGATACATAGTGGGTACTCAATAAATATTCTGAGAATAAATATATCTACTTATAGCCAGGTTAGGGTGCACCTGTATTCCCAGCCACTTGGGATGTTGAGGCAGGAAGATAATTTGAGACCAGGAGTTCAATACCAGCTTAAGCAACATAGCAAGACCCTGTTTCTGAAATAAATAATCAATAAGTTCACTTGTGGTTTTGTTTTGTTTTGTTTTTTAAAAAGAGACAGGGTCTCACTTTGTTGCCCAGGCTGGAGTGCAGTGGCTATTCATAGGCATGATCCCACTACTGATCAGCACTCGAGTTTTTACCTGCTCCGTTTCTGACCTGGGCCGGTTCACCCCCCTTTAGGCAACCTGGTGGTCCCCCACTCCTGGGAGGTCACCATATTGATGCCGAACTTAATGCGGACACTATTGGCATTGTGCACTACAGCCCAGAACTGGGTTCAAGAGATCCTCCAGCCTCAGCCTCCTGAATAGCTGGGAACTACAGGCACAAGCCACCGCGCCTGGCATTCACTTGTGTTACAATTCTTGAATGAGATTTTTTTCTTTCCTATTGGAATTTACAAACTGTTAAGCATATTGCATAAAGTGGATGATCAGTAAATGCTAGAATTAACATTTATCCTTCAAAATGAACTTTACAACTGTGCATGTCCTTGTCGATGAACCAGGAACCTACTTTTTGTGGAGCACAAAGTCACATGCCCTTGCACGATACTAACTGCCTCCCACTTATTGGTGTTTCTCTAAAAAAAAAAAAAAAAAAAAAAAAAAAAAAAAAAAAAAAAAAAAAAAACATTGCCTCTACTAGGCTTACATAGAGACAGTAGCACAGGAGCTACTCCCATTTCACCACAAAAAGTCACATCTTTTCTAAAGTGTTTCTCTACTAGCTGTAAGAGTGGCTGATGTAGAGAATAAAGATGTTTTTATTACTAGAGTGGCCCAAGTTCTTACCCAATCAGGTGTCTTTTCAATACGTTAACAGAGTTCAGTACTTTAGAAATGTAATTCATTAGGGTCACTTGTAAAGTGACTCAAACACTAACCATCGTTTTAACAACTTAACAATAAGGTGTTGAAGTTTTCTCGTAATTTACTCTTTTCTTTTCTTTTTCTTTTCTTTTTTTTTTTTTTTTTTTTTTTTTTTTTTTTTTTTTTTTTTTTTTTGAGACAGTCTTACTCTGTTGCCCTGCTGGAGTATGGTGGTGCAATCATAAGTCACTACTACAGCTTTGAACTCCTGGGCTCCAGCGATTCTCCTGCCTCAGCCTCCCAATGTGCTGGGATTCCAGGTGTAAGCCACTGTGTCTGGCTTTATTTTAATTTTTAAAAG